TGTCTTTACGAGGAGTATGAAAATTAAGGTTGAACTCCGTATTGAAGGTTTTCCTGTAAGTGCACTCCTTTACACGTGATGTATTATTTTCATCACATTTTTTCACATACAGCTCATACATTTTTCGAATATCTAAGTCAGAACTTAGATACTTTCGACCTGAAGTGTGATGTGATCTCGTGTAATGGCTCTCACATGCTGGAAAACTCAGAATATGTTCTCGTACCACTTTAATTTTTATACCCGAGCGCACTTGTGCACAAGGGTATTATAACTTTGTTCACATAACGGGTGTTTGTAACAGGCAAAACGAATCGAGATAGATATAGACAAATGTATACATAAATGATCAGAATGAAAAGAGAAATCGATTAAGCGGTGACTGTCTGTCCGTCCGTCCGTCCGTCCGTCTGGGCACACGATAACTCGAGTAAAAATTGAGATATCTTAACGAAACTTGGTAAGTGGACCTCTTTTGGGCGTAGGACGGATGGTATTGAAAATGGGCGAAATCGGACAATAACCACACCTACCTCCCATATAACGGTAATTTTCAGAAATACGAAAACTGGGATATTTTAGTAACTTCTAAAGATAGTTCACTCAAAATTGATATTTACAATGAGTTTTAGACGAAAAATAAGAATATTATAGATTTTTGGAAAATGGGCGTAGCCACGCCCACTTATGGTTACATGTGTATATCTTGGTAACCGCTGCACCAATTTCTTCCAAACTTGGCACAGTTGTTGGTCCTGGTACAAAATACCAAATCGGACAATAACCACGCCCACATCCCATATAACGGTAATTTAGAAAAATACGAAATCCTCGATAAATCAGTAAATATTAAAGCTAATTTTTTCAAAATTGATGGGTGCAACAATTCTTAACAAAGAAATATGTTTGTGAAAAAATTTTGGAAAATAGGCGTGGCACCGCCCACTTATGATCACATATATGTGTCTCGGTAACTGTTCTACCAATTTGTACCAAACTCGGTACGGTTATTGTGCTTGCCACACAAAAGCAAACCGTTGAAAATTGTTGAAATCGGACTAAAATTACGACCGTTTTTCATATAACCGGTAAATTTCAGAAATGCTTGAAATTTCAATATTTCGAAATTTAAGGACGCTAATTTACTTAAAATTTATACATCCCGGCTTATCAGTAGCGGCAGCTTTCGGAAAGGTGGAAAACATATATTTAATACTTGCGCCGGGTATTTAATGTTCGGCTCCGCCCGATGATGAGATGAACCAGCCATTTTGCCACGACCATCCGTTCCAGGTGTTTTAACATTTAGGACACGGCTTAATCTTCCGTTAGATATTTTAAAAGTATCCAAAAAAAAAGTTTTGCAAACAGAAACTTCTGAATTCCGTACATTTAGATGAAACTTAAAACTACACTTTCTCATATATCCTTCGTAATTTCTGGGTCGTCTTTGCTTTATTGATTGTTTTCGAACCAAACCATACACAAACAAATTCTGTTTTTCGAAACTTGCTAATTTCCAAAAACAATCAAAATTAGCTTTCCTGTCTTCATATCCGATTCCATTTATACATTTTTTGGAACAAAGGCAATCTTTATTTTCGAAAAGTTTACCACTCACATGCTTAGACTCTTTTGTTTCATATTCCTCTCCACTATTTCTCTTCATTTTTCTTATATTTTGTGCATAATTACGTGGATTTCGTGGCCTCTTTCTTGATTTCAAGTTGCTTTCTTCCATTTGTAAGGGTTCGGAATTCACTTCCAAAGTATGAACTGATTCATCTGAAGACGATATTAGTCTTATTCGTTT